TTGCACAAGTGATATATTAGCTAGAAGGAAAAGAAAAGAACAAAAAACAAAAGTGGTGTTTTAGGTGGAATAACATGCAAACAGATGTATAAAGCAGGCTTAATGGAGATTGAATGAATCAGATTATCTGGAATCCTGCATTTAACCTGTCCGGTGTTCTAAATATCAGATGTCAGGGATATGTCAGACAGAAGATTTCCATACTGGATGGTGGATTTTGGGAATATATGGAGTTATTTATGTGTCATTGAATAATGTGTGTACACGTCATAGATTTTCATACTTGGTGCAAGGGAATTTGATCATGGAGAATATGATCTCAAATGGTGATATCTTTTGAAAAAACTTTTGCAAGGTGATATCTTTTGAAAAACTTTTGCAAGATGATCTCTAAAGGTGATATCTTTTGCACTAAATAATTGAGTCGTGGAGAAAAGTGTTATCTTTTGAAAACTTTGCAAGGGAATTTGATCTCAAATGAGTGTCGACTTGTTTTTTCTTCTTATTCTTTTTTAACACGGTATGCGTCTGCAATTTGTTATATTGGTCACATGAAAGTGAGATATTAGCTAGAAGGAAAAGAAAAGAACAAAAACAAAAGTGGTGTTATAGGTGGAATAACATGCAAACAGATGTATAAAGCAGGCTTAATGGAGATTGAATGAATCAGACTATCTGGAATCCTGCATTTAACCTGTCCGGTGTTCTAAATATCAGATGTCAGGGATATGTCAGACAGAAGATTTCCATACTGGATGGTGGATTTTGGGAATATATGGAGTTATTTATGTGTCATTGAATAATGTGTGTACACATGTCATAGATTTTCATACTTGGTGCAAGGGAATTTGATCATGGAGAATATGATCTCAAATGGTGATATCTTTTGAAAAACTTTTGCAAGGTGATATCTTTTGAAAAACTTTTGCAAGGTGATATCTTTTGCACTAAAGAATTGAGTCGTGGAGAAAAGTGATATCTTTTGAAAAACTTTGCAAGGGAATTTGATCTCAAATGAGCTCTAATTTTTCTTCTCAATTTTGCATAAGAAAATACTTTTTGGGTTTAGATCTCAATTGAACCATAAATCCAAACCAATCTTTTAGAACAAATACAAGTCCAATCAGCATTGTAGCATTTCAACTGATTTTTTGAGGGCGATGTTCCACCTAATATGTCGGGAAGTTCATTATGTATTCCCTCAAAAATTGCCAAAAACAGTAATGGATAATGAGGCCATATTGCTTTGCAGCAAGCCTAAAAGGATATGTCGGCTGATTATATCGAATATACGTAGATATTTAAAACAATGAGCTCTTCAGCCTTGCACTAAGATGCTAATGGGGAAAACGAAGAGCACGCTGCTACTGCCTTGGTGCAAATTAAGATGATATTTGTTTTATATTAGCTTGAGAGCAATTAGACAAGGTTTGAATAATCTACACTGCTGGAGTTCTTGATCTAGTACCTACTTGCTGGATGGCCTCATAAACATTACATTTAATTGGAATTTATGGCATTCCAATTCTGGGGTTTAGTCCAAACATGTTATAGGTTTTCTGAACTGACTGCATTTCTTAAGTGTAGAAGTAATTCAATAATGTCCAGATTTCTGATACAGGAATGGATTTTGTATTCTATAAACAACTTATTTAATTCAATAAATAAAATATGTGAAACTAAATGAATTTGAATTGCAATTCCATGATTCTCAATTTCATGAATTATATGACAAATGACATCTATAAGTCTTGAAGAGGGCGTGGATAATACGTTTCATGGAGTCCTTGAGATTCTTTCCTTTCCTCAAGTGAAATAACTTTCTATAAGCATATCAAGTATGACATATTAATTTCAAAATTTTTGATATGAGGAGGACTTTGAATTCTATGAATAAACCAATTCTAAAATTGTAATTCCTAATTCTCAAATTGGTGAGTTATAAATGCACCTTGGGTCATTTATCATTCTTGAATATGTGAGGTGGTAATCTATTCATTGAGTTTTGAGACTTACTTTTTCTTATGTAAAATAACTTTCTAAGAGCATCAGTATAATTCGGTAGTCTGAAGTTTCTGATAAAAGTAAATTAGAGGAAATTCAATGCCATTTGATTTGTGATTCCGTTAATCTTAACTAGATGCACATTGACCAGTTTTGCAGTTCTTGAAGATGGGATTTGGTAATACATTAATTAAGTTTTTGACCGTCTTGACAAGATATTTATCTATAATTTTTGAAGATAGTGCTTCTGTTGAAGTGAGTTTGGTGCTGTCTCATGTTGCTAAACAAGTATCTATTTTTTTTGCTGTGACATGATTTTATTGTTTATCTTAAATTTCTTTTGACTATTAATACCAAAACTCCGAAGTTATGGTGATGATTGAAGGTTAATAGTTTTATATTAATTCTAACATGCCTCCGCACGTTGAGCCCTTTTTATGGGCCAATACTTAGACTCACGTGGCGGTGTCAATTTTCTTAAAAAAATCCGGTTTAAATTCATGGCCTGTGGGATTTGAACATGGATTGCTCTAGTACCATCTTAAATTCCCTCTAATCATTATACCAAACCACTGAAGTTGTGGTGAGGGTTGAGGGTTATAGTTGCATATTAATTCTAATAGTTAAAAACTTGTTCATTTGTCAAATACAAATTCCATAGAGAATTTTTCTTTTTTGCAAATTTCTTGGTGGAGGTCTAATATTTTATTCTTTTTATATGTAATAGAACATCAAATTTTATGTCCAATTTGATGGCTCAAGTATTTATTGAATATTGGTGACCTTGTTCTACCAAAGACAGTGCTACATTCTTTTAATGTTCAACAAGTCATTGCTAGTTGTTTACTAAGCTAAAGTCAGTCATTTAACTTGCCTTTTTTTGCTTACTAATGTATTGCTAGATTTTTACTAAGGTAAATCAGTCCGTTAACCTGCCTTATTTGTTTACTAATGTGATGCAGGCTGTGATAACAAATCATTTGGTAGTGAGGGGCTGCTATCGTAGTCTAACACTGATAATTTATGGGAACACAGCCGAAGATCTTGGACAATTTAATATAGAGTTTGATTTGGATAACTCTTTGGTGAGCGTGGCACCGTCACCTTCAGAGGGAAGGCTTGAAGATCTCCCTCCTGCATTACTTTCTGAGAAGATAACATTTGAGGAGTCAATATTGTCGACAAAATGCTTCTCTCTTCCTGTGCCTGATCTGGATCTATCATCTGAAATGAAGCAGTTTCTGAGACTGACTCTTTCTATATGCCAGATATCTGATGATGTGGATACTATTCATAAAGTTGCAAGGCCTGTTGTCTCAGCAATCTGTTCATATATTACTAGTGATTATAAATGTATGGTATTCAATGGGGACCAGCTGAAGCCTGGTTATGCAGACAGAAAAAAGGATCCCCAAAAAATAGTTTCTGTTCTTGCTGAGGCCAAAAATGAGCTTGTTCAACTCTACGAGTCTCTTCAACTGTTACCAGGGAATGAGCACATGTTGACGGAGGATATTATTTTTGAACCAGTTTCTGATTTGATGACATCACAGCTCTTAGTTGATATGTTGTTCCATTGTTTTCCTTCTCTCTTGAAACCTACATCCATTGACCTTCACGCGCCTTTTCAGGTTTAAGTGCATTTTCCTCCTCTTTTCACTTGTACTAGTTAGATTGCACGTGCAATGCACGTGGTCGAATATCATGGTTATTTAAATTAATAAAAATAGAATAAAAATAAAAAAAATAAAGTTTTTTTTGCGGGATTAATTATCAACATAATAATCTCTCTTTCAAATAAAATATTATCATTATTTCCCTCAACCCAGACTGTCGCCACGTGATCTACTATTTGAGAGTTATAAACACATTGATCTAGTACAATATCTTTGTTTATTAGAATCTTGAAGTCTTTAAAAGATGTGTGATCATTCAATTTGCAAAGGAATTTTTCATATGAATTTATTTGCAATATGTCCATTAAATCTTTAGTTGTCGTTTGACTCATATTCATATTAACTTTTAGTTGTGGTTTTACTCATATTTACGTTATCTAATATTCTCATTCAATTTTATAGCTCATTCTCCGTACCATAGAAGTAAAACTGAAAGTATGAATAATTATTTTTTTGTAAAATTAGAACAGGGAGATTATGATATATTTTGCTATGTACTTTAAATATAAAAAATATCTTTGATGCAATGTCCCTATTGATATATTTTGCTATGTACTTTAAATATAAAAAATATCTTTGATGCAATGTCCCTATCAAATCTTACCCCAAACAATATGAATGGAGAATGCTATTATAACTTACTTACCTGGAGTAATTATATTGTATATAGGACATATATAGTAGTCTCATGTATTTTTTGGTTCTGACTGCAAAATACGCAAGAGTGGTAGTCCCGTGTATTTTCATATAGTAGTCTCATGTATTTTTTGGTTCTGACTGCAAAATACGCAAGAGTGGTAGTCCCGTGTATTTTTCGTCTTTAATTATTTTTGTGATTAATGTTCTATAATTACACGAGACTATTAGTCCAGTGTATTTTAAAGATGATTTTTATACAAAATTGACCTCTTTGTTGCCAGTCTTGATGGTGTGGCAAAAAATAGGTCAATTTTGTTAATTATTATGTAAAACAATCGATTTTGCTAATATTTTTAAAAAGTGATCTTTTTAAAAATTCTCCTAAAATAACTGTTAATTCAAAATATGAAATGAACGGAAGACCTAAACGGTCTGGTGATTAATTGACCCATAAATAGGAAAAAATAACAATTGAAATAAAATAATATTTAAATTGAATCTAACAAGACACTCCACTGAATGAAGCATGAAATAGATCCAAGAAATTATTAAAAGATAATTAAAGAAACTAATTAAAAAATATGAGATCGAGAGATAGAGGGAGAGAAGACCTCGCCGACATAAATTCTATTTCTCTTCGAGTGTGACATCAAAATTGGTGGATAATAAGCGAGGAGAAATGTGAACAGAATATGTGACAAAGTGGGTGTGCTTATATAAATAGGTTATTAAGATATTCGTCCTGAAATCTTAAATACATACATGTGGGTGTGCTTATATAAATAGGTTATTAAGATATTCGTCCTGAAATCTTAAATACATACATGTTAGTCTCTAACATCTTTGTAATTTCTCATTACAATGATATTACTATTTAGTATTAAATCGATTTTATTATATAAGATTATATACCCTTTTTAATAAAATATAAAGTATGTGTGGAATCCTAGATGCTTATAGCCAGTAGTTGGGCTCCACAAAATAGGTTAACTTTACATTATAGTTTGTTACTGATAATACTATTATAGCAATGCCATTACTTTTCGTCTTTATCTTATTATTCACATTTATCTGATGTAAGTCCTCTTTTGCTAGTCACTCGATTGACTCAATTTTATTTTTATAATATCAGAGGTCAGAATATTCTTTTTTATTTAAAAAGTGTAGACATGATTTTCTTAAAAAATATATATACACATAGTAACAATAGTATATACTTCAGTTCAACTCAAACATTGGCTTGAAGCCATTTAGAATGATATTTAGAATGAGGTTCTATCTATGCTAGAATAGTAACATAGTGATTACATAATCCAAAAGTCAAAGAAGAAATTTCTACAAAGAAAAAAATAATATAATGTCAAATTAATAACTAATTGATAAAATATACATGGACAGTGCAAAAAGCTATAGAAAGTAAGGCATATATCTTCATAAAAATTTCACAGTGAGTGACCAACTGCAATCATTCTAATTTAAGCATAAATAATTATTTTTTAGTTCCTAATTTGATATACGAAACTATAAAATAAATCTCAAGCAAAAAATAGGAATTAAAATTATATTATATTGTGGGTAAATAAATAAATGCAATTTAAAAGTAATAATTTAAACTATTAAGTGTCAAATATTAGTTCATGCGAGAAAGTAAAGTAATTTATGGTCTATATAGCAATCGATTAAACGTATTAAAATTATAATGACCACAACTAAAATTATATGGTGAGTTCACATTAAAAATAATTTATAAAAAATAGTACATTAAAGTCAAAAACCTTTTAACCACTGTATAGATTGTTTGAAATTTTTTGCATGTATAAACTATACTGTCTAGTAATAGTGATGTGCATACTTAACTATAGCCTAATACATTTTAAGAACGACTTATTCTTCAATATCATCATTAATTGATGTATCTATGCATTACACTAAAAACACAATAAAAATTTAAAAAACTATAAAAGAAATACCCTCAAAAGTTTTTAAAATTATAAAAAACACCCTAAACTTTTATAATTTACAAATATACTAAACTATTAAAAATTATATTAAAATCAAGGAACTATAATAAATCATTGAAAAATTTTAAACTTTAGAGGGGTAATTTGCAATGTACTAAACTTTAAGTTTGTTTTTTTTTTGTAAATTTCAAATCTAATTGATTTTAAAGTAGTTATGTTCTTTTTAAAAAAGTTATGGGTAATATTGATTATGAAAAGTTTTTCCTAAACCTATACTTTTAAAGGGAGTATGATATTTTTTGTAAATTTTTTATTTTTTAGGGGTTGCTAGTAATTTTGTATATTCATTTTAGTGTCTATAGGTTAGAAATTCTAATGGTGTTTTTTGTAAATTATGAATATTAGGGTTTTTTTTGTATTTTTTTTAAACCTATAGGTTTTTTCTATAGAGTGTAAATTGTTTATAGACTATTTATAATTCCTATATTTTTAATTTACTAATGAGTTTGAAATTCTTAGAGTGTGTTTGTGAAATTTAAATTTTAAGTGTTTGTTTATAGTTTTTAAACTTTAAGGGTGTTTTCTATAAATTATAAATTATATAGGGGATATTTGTAACTCATATATTTCCAATGTACTGTTAGGTTGGAAATTATCAAGATTTTTATAAATTTTACGATCTTGAGGGTTTTATCTTTCAATTTGTAAAATGTTTAGAGTGTTTATTACAAATTCCATAAATATTTGGGGGTTGTTTGTGTTATTTGTAGGTTTTTTGTGTGTTTATAGGTTTAAAATTTTTAAGTTATTTTTTACAAATTTTGAATTTTAGGAGTGTTTTTATATTTTTTAAAACTTACAAGATACTTCTCCAATATCAAAAACTTTTATTTTTAGTTAGCATATATTTTTCAGATTTCTCACTGAATTGAAATAAGTAAAATTTATAATTTTTAAATAAAATTTTGAATTTATAGGGGGTATTTTTGCAATTTTAAAACTTAGAGGGTATTTTTTACAAGGTCCAAAAACTTTTAGGTGTTGGCTAACATATTTTTTTAGATTTTTCTGCAAACTAAAATAAGTTAAAGATTTGAATTATATCAAACATATCACCTTTACCCAATAACATGTTAAGTCTTATTATGGATAGGATAAATCATTTAATTATAAATTAAAAGAATTTGGAAAAATTAGAATAAAATAAGATAACAATATAATATTTTAAAAAAGTTAAGGGTAATATTAACCATGAAAAGATTTTCCCCAACTCGTACTTTTTAAAGGGAGTATGATATATATATATATATATATATATATATATATATATATATATATATATATATATATATATATATATATATATATATATATATATATATATATATATATATATATATATATATATATATATATATATATATATATGAGATT